AGGTTAAGGCCGTGGAAGAGAAACCGGTCGAGCCAGTGAAGGAAGAAGCCAAGAAACCTGCTTATGCCGGTCTTCCAATCGACGAATCTTCCACAACCTGGATGGATGTTCTGGACGAACCAATGGTTTTATCTGACGAGGAAGAAACATCTCAAGAAACAGTATCTCAGACCACCACGACAGCTACTGCTACCATTGTTACTGAAGCTGTGGAAGTAAAGGCTCCTGAAACCAGACCAGTCGAAACAGCTCCGCAAGTAGTTGAAGATACACCGATCTTAAAGATTGAAGAAGTTATTAAGGTTAAGGCCCTGGAGGAGAAACCCGTTGAACCCATTAAAGAAGAACCCAAGAAACCTGCTTACTCCGGTCTTCCTATCGATGAGTCTTCCAGAACCTGGATGGATGTTCCGGACGAGCCTATAGTCTTATCTGACGAAGAAGATAAACTAGAAGAACGAGTGTCTCAGATCACCTCAACAACTACGACAACCACTGTTGTTACTAGAGCAGTGGAAGTAAAGGTTCCCGAAACAAAATCCGTCGAAGAAGTTACGCAAGTGGTTGAAGAGAAACCCATCAAAACGGTCGAAGAGGTGCAGACACCTGAGACTCTGGTGGAAGCAACTGTGGAGGTGAAGACTGTTGATGACAAACTCCTCGAACCAACACCCACTTCTTCAGCTGTGGTAGTTACTGATAAAGTTGTAAATAAACCATCCAAAAAGTTAGAAGAATTTAAGCATGAAGCTACCACTGTGGAGGTTGAAATATCCGAAGTTAAACCCCCTGTGTCAATCTCAAGTTGGGCTGATATTGTTTCCGATACCATTGAGCAAGAAAAGCCTTTGAAAGCAGATAAATTGAAAAAGAAAAAGACCAAAAAAGAAAAGGTTGAGGCGCTTCAGGAAGATGAGCTACCTATACGAAGCGATACTCATAAAAACGTTACCTTCATTGATGAGGAAAGAAAAGATTCGACTTTGTCATCAGTCCAAGTTGTGAGGAAACCGGTTCCAAAGGAATTGGATGTGCCTAAACCGACTGTGTTGCCAGGCTTTTCATGGTCTGATATTGTAAGGCAAAACAACCAAGAATTACCTAAACAGACGACCGTTTTT